AATTCATGTCTTCTTTCTTCTTTGATAATCAGGTTGAATGCCCTCTGGGTTAATTTGAGTCTTGTCTTTGCCTCTCTGTCTAATTATTTCATTACTTTATGCTCTGGCTGTGTTTTCTTCTTATTCTTATTTTTATTAACATTTTCTCTTACATTGCAGGTTCTTATACAGATGTATAGTACTGATGGGAAATATTCTTCCTAACTAATTTAAGTATTAGCCACTGTAATGTTTTCTGAAAGTGTTTTTGGAGCTGAATCTTCCGAAATTGATGTTATGGATTTGTTTTCATTGCATTTCAGATGTTTTCTAACTCCACTTATAAGACATTCAACGCATAATTTACTTAAAACTGTATTGTTTTGTATTGTATCTGATTTACCAACTGTGTAGAGATTTTCCATGTATCTTTTCTTTAATCAATTTATAGTACAATTGTTTTAATTATGTGTGCATCTTATGTATATGATTGTTTCAATGGTCATGACTTTCTACCTGATACAGAATATGTTTATTCTTAATGAATATCCCCTATGCACTCATGAAATCACAAATTCTACAATTACTGGGAATTTTGTTTGTCTTCTGAACATCATCTGGTTGAAAGTGTTACATGAGTTTTCAACATCTCTCTTGATTTTCTGTTAATTATCCTGTAATTATCGAAAAGTATATTGAAAGTATATTGAACCTCCAGTTCAACTCCTTTGAATTATTCTGTTGTGTTTAGTTTTGTGCATGATGGAGTTCTGTCTGTCATTAAATATATGCATACCTAGAAATTCTGGATTCATAGTGTTAACTTATTTGTTAGGGAGAGGGAGAAGGGACTTGAAATAAGCTTGTTCCCTAACTAGAACTAATAAAATAAAATAAATTAAAAAAGAAAAGAATGCTACTTTTAAGATCTGAAGCTAGTTTTTGTAAAGGCTCTGTACCATTTACCCTCTCCATATATGTTACTTTGACTGATTCAAATATTTGTTTCTCTATTTCTTGTCTTCAACCATTAGAGTATTGTGTATTAGTGTGTGTGTGTGTGTGTGTGTGTGTGTGTGTGTGTTCACACATGTGCCTGTAGGTGTGTGTTGTTCCTTGTGATTATCTGAAATTCTTGATTATGTAGAATTTCTTCTTTATTAAATTCTGAAAAATCAGCTAGTCATTGTTTTTAAAAATATATTTACTCTTTTTAGTGTCAGGAGTACTTTGTCTGCCTATATATCCATGTCCCACATGTGTGTGGCATCTGTGGATACCAGAAGAGAGCATCAATTCCTCTGAGAATAGAATTATGGATAGTGTGAGCCACCATATGGGTTCTGGAAATTGACTGTGGTTGTGGGCCCTCTGGAAGAGCAATAAGTGCTCTTGACCATCTCTCTGGTCCTAGTAATTATTTCTTAAAAATCTCTTCTCTTATATAGGCATTTTCTTTAACTTTATTTACACATATCTTAGACTATTTGATGCTATGTCACAGCTTTGAGTATTCTTTTTCATTATATTTTCATGTGTTTTAGTTTTGGGAACTTTACTGATCTCTTTTCAAATCCAATGGATCCTTTACTCAAACACATCCAATCTTCTCAATAAAGAAAGAATCTTTTAGCTTTGATATTACTTTGGGGTTTTCATTTCCTTTTTCATAATTTCTGAATCCTGAGATATTGTACCTTTAATACATGTTGCTACCTCTTCCAGGAGAGAAAATATATAAATCATTTTAATCACATGTACAAGTGTGTGTGTGTGTGTGTGTGTGTGTGTGTGTGTGTGTGTGTGTGTTTTACATTTCTGTGCATGGGTGCCCATGCTCCCATCTGTGGATACTAGCGGAGGAGGTCTGGTATTTGTCTGTGCCACATTTTTTTCTGTGACACTGTGGACCTCATTCCCTTGAGACTGGCTCACCTGATGAACTTGAAGCTTTCTGAGTAATAATAATAATAATAATAATAATAATAATAATAATGATGATGATGATGATGATGATGATGATGATACACACATAAATGCTGTTTGTCTCACTTCCCTCTTTGTTATTTTGGAGGCAGGTCTCTGGACTCAGCTTGCCTGGAACCTGCTATGTAGACAAGGATGACTTTGAATTTCTGATCTTCTAGCCTTCACCTCTGACATGCTGGGATTATAATACTATGTCAACACATCCTGTTTAGGAGTCACTGAGGAATTCAGCCCAGCCTTCAATCATACTAGGCAGGCACTGTTTCAACTAAGTTACAGTCATAGCCCTTTCTCTCTTGACAGTCTATTTTCTACTTTTATTCTTTTTCTTCTATGTATTGTTATTAATATAAAATTTGCATTGAATGTGAAAGAATATTAGTGTCTGAGGTAAAATATATTTATACATGGAAATGGCTCATTTGTAGTCTTATGTAGTGGGTGGAGTTGAGTTAACATAACAGGGAGTTATAATTTTACAACCATCATAACCATCCATGCGTGTTCCCTTTGTTCTGACAGTGCATCCCATGAAATCAAATTGTTTCTGTTTCATCTCAGCTGTGTTCCCATATATACACTACCGAGTACCCTCTTTTTTTTCATGCTGGCCCTGGGTAATAGTGCTGCTAGTGCCATGCTTCTGTTGGCAATATTCTGTGTTTTCCCACTTCAGTCTCAAGTCTTTGGCCAGTCCTAGGCTACTGAGTCATATGGGTGGGGTTTTCTAATGTCCTTGTCTTCCTTCTCATGCTTTCCCAACTCTCCTGTATCTTGTATCTGTGTGGGTCTTGTTTTGGGGAGCGTCTCCTGACCATTACAGCAGACAGACTTCAGTTTTCTGACTACTTTGATTCTGAGCTCAGCTGAGTTTGTTGCTGCTCAGTCAAAAACAAACAAATAAATTGTTCTCTTTACCCCTAAGCAATTTCTCTTTGGTGAAAGACAATGACTTAGTGGGGGAAGAGTCTTATGTGCTTCTCTTAGTTCAAGATCAAAATACCTTCACATCTGTGGTCCAGTGGCAGCCATTTACCTACAGCAGGGTTCTACAGCAGAGGATGTTGTCTTTGGACCACATTCCCAATCTATTTTTGTGAGCTTCCTACGAAGTACATGGAAAAGAGTCTTATGGGGAGCAAGTCTTACATCAGTGGTCCCCAGGGCTGCCAAACTACCATAACAGCCCACATTCCACTTTAAAGGTTTATTCATCTCTCTCTCTCTCTCTCTCTCTCTCTCTCTCTCTCTCTCTCTCTCTCTGTTTTTGCTCTTGTTATGACTCAAACTTTCTCTTCATTCTCTAATGAAGGCAAATGAATATTTACATGCATTGTGTCTTCTCAGAGAGAATCGTCAACCTTTGAAATTCAATTCTCTTATCTATCTTGTAATGGGCTCAGAAAATGTTACTGTTTTGTGAATTATACATTTTCTCCCTGATTGTTATGAAGGAGGTCAGCTTTCTACAATCTAAACAGATTGGGAACTTATTGATGTGTTTCATATTGCGTGGATAGATGATGTATCCTTTAGGGTTTCCTCTGAAAAATAGTCTTTTGATGGTTTTTCTGATGTCACATGATGTATACCCTAGAGCTTCTCATTTTGTCCGTTCTTGAAATTATTTTGTTCACTGTATTGTTTTATTACTATTATTTTTACCATTTCCAGATCAATTTGAGTGCCACATCAATTTCTATTCAAGGAAAGTGCTGGCAGTACTGTAAGCTCTCCATTCTTTTACTTTATGTTTAACAGTCCTGTGATGAAGTACTTTGCTCCTAATGGTCACTGGCATTGCAGGTCCCCTAAATCAATGGTTATTGGGGTTACATTCTCATTCTTTCTATATGAAGAACAGCATAAGCATATCTCCAGCTGGCTATGCTGCATCTTTAGTCATTGTTGTAATCATTGACTAGATATAGAGGCATAATTGAGGACTCACAGTGAGTCTCTTCTGAGGTAAAGGCCACATAAGTGTCAATCAGGAAATTTCAGATATTGGTATGAAGTTTTTGCTACTCCTGTGGTCTAATCTATTTCAGGAAGAACATGGAAATTTGAGATATTCAGTCAGTTTAAACAAGGTGTCCTTATATCATGTGTCAAGGTTCACGTTGGACATTGCTACAGATATAAGAGCTCTATGTTGCCTGAAACATCAACTTACTTTGTATATAATCTCTTGTGATTAAGTCCTGGGCCAAACCATCATTTCCCTCTGTTCTACCTCTACTCTACCATTGCTTTTTATAACAGCTTTTAATTACTGATTAATTATATTCAAACTTTTATTAGCTTTTAAAAGACTAGCATCTTTCCAATGCTCAATACTGTTTCAATATTTCTCAGTTCCTGGGTTTATCATGGTAGCAAATTCCCTTCATTTTCAAAGATATAGCATTTCATTGGATAACTGGTGGTCTCATTAGCAGAATGTGACAACACATTAGGGCAGCAGGCAACTTGTCTCTACCTAAAGCAACCAATATGCTTCTCAGCAAGTCAAGATCTCAGCATGGACTTATTTGTATTTCTCTGACTGTTAAGAAAGGTTGACATTTTAAAAACAATATTTAGTAATCATTTTCTATTAAATCATTATTATAAAGAAATTGTACATTAAAACAATAACATAAAATTAACCAGATCCCAAATCTATACAACTCAGTGAACTTCTATACAGATAGAAAATTTCAGAACTAAAAAATTAGTCATTTGTTTTGATTTGTTGTTTATTTCTTTAATTATTTTATACTAATACTCTACTGGATTTATTACTGGTATGCAAGTTACTTTTCTGTTGCTGTGAAGAGACACAGTGACCTGGTACACACCTTTAATCCCAGAACTCAGGAGGCAGAGGCAGGTGGATCTGTGTGAGTTCGAGGCCAGCAAGGTCTCCAGAGTGAGTGCCAGGATAGGTTCCAAAGCTACAGGGTTTCTCTAAACCCTGTCTTGAAAAACAACAACAAAAAAAAGAAAGAAAGAAAGAAAGAAAGAAAGAAAGACACAGTGACCAAGGAAACGTTAAAATAAGGTGTTTAATTGTGGGCTTAATTTATATTTTTTGAGATGAATCCATGGATCAATAGCTGAGAGCTCACACTTTACCTGAAAGTTGGAGGCAAAAAGAGACTGGGAATGGTGTGGGCTTTTGAAACCTTAAATCCCACCCTTGAGTCACAACCTCCTCCAACAAGGCTTCACCTTTTAATATTTCTTGAACAGTTCCACCAAAGGGGGACCAGGCACTCAAACACATGAGCCTGTCAACTCATACTCATTAAACACACCACAGTAACATAGAGACTTCTAGTTTGGAGTGGGATTCTAGTTTGGAAGTGAAGGACTCTGTAACAGAACCAGTCTGGGGAGTTATCAGTCCATCTTCAGGGTCTCATCCATACAGCAGACACAATGATGTTGTGCCTGTCAGTGCATTGTTAGATGGAAGTAGAGTAGCTGAATTTTAGCATAATCAAATGGCAGCATAAAAATTTGATTGAGCAGTATATGCAAGTAGATATGATAAGCATAATTGTGCCAACATCACTTGCACATTCTATGCTGTAGCATATGGGGATGTAGTTCCTTCTAATGTGACTATTTTGTTTTCCAAACTGGATATCTACTTAGGACAAATGTCTGTGTACAACTCTTCTATTACAGTGGTAAGAATGATTCAGCTTTAAAATTCCATTTTAGAATTGGGTTTGTTTGTCGTTATATATATTGACTGCAGCCTGACTGCTCTTCAATAAGGGACTGAGATTTATTTGTATAATATTTGACAGGTCAATAAGGCATTATGTATTTATGAATCACCAACAGCTGTTGAAAGGAGATGAAGAAACAGGGTCGGTATTTCAGCCAGCCAGAAGGTATCTATGGTTCATGGGTGACTTGTCAAAGTATCCCCAGATTGGACCCAAGAAGCTAGATCTTCACCCTCTCATTATACTACATTATTGATGTAGTCAGCATGGAAAAGGCTGCACTTGTCTGATACAACCCTCTGAAGTTGAGGCTCTGTTCAAATGTTAGAAACATATTCTTGACTTGGGGCCACAGATACTAGACAAACATTCCAATCTCCTCAGATTCCCCCCTCTATTTTATGTTATTCTAAAGATTTGTGTTATTTTTATTTATGTAAGTATATGGAATAGTATGCCCCGTGTGTAGGTGCTCATGTAGACCAGAATAGGGCAATGGGTGCCCTGGAGTTGGAATTACAGGTGGTTGTGAGTCACCTCATCTGAGTCCTGGGAATCAAACCCATGTTCTCTGGAAGAGCATCACTGTACATCTTTAACCACTGAGTCATCACTCCATTTCCAAAGGTGTAGCTCAAGTTGGTCTGAATACATGATTCTTCAGTCTCTGCCTATTCAGCATATCCCATCAGCTTTTGCCATCACAAACCGGTCTTTTATTATTTTAAATATATGTAATTATCTGATTTGCAACATGTCTGTTCTTAAGGTGGTACCTAGAGATCACATTTTTATGTTGAACAGAACAGAAAACTAAAGGTGTGATTTGGAAACCCAGATTGGGGAGCACAGATATAAGGTAGAGCTCCTGATAATCATATAGTAAATGATTTTATGTTACAAACTCATTTAATTTGTTCAAATTATCATTTCTTTGCATCTCATAACTGAGGTGCAATGTATCAGCACTGACTATAAGAAATAGCATGAGGAAGCACAGGAGGGTCCCTGGGTAGGCCTGCCCTGAAGGTGAGCTCCTTCAAAGGTGAGATTAGGCTTAAAGTAACAGTTTATACATGAGCTGGATTGAAGACTGGAGTGGATGTTCTGTTTCGTGAACTATTTTCTCACTCATCAAATGCTTTTAAAACTATCAGGATAGGACAGTAACTAGAGACAGCTGGCATTTCCTTAACTTCTGTGTTTGGTGTATGATGCTTGGGTTTCAACAAGCAGCTTGTTTGCCCAAGTTTCTTCCTGAGTATATTATGTAGGGAGAGAGTAAAGTCCAGAGTGAATATGTGTTGTTGACATGAGCATGGCCATGTCAAGGATGCTAATAGCCCAGACCCGTGGAAATGGCAATGCCTTACCTGGGTCAGGCTCCGGGAAATGACAAAGCCTTTCCCCTGGTTTAAAAATGTTTACATGTATATACAGAAAACATCCACCTTAGGTTCCTCCTCCCTGATGTTTACAGACTAAGACTTCTGCAAATATAAAGACTTCCATTAAGAAAAGGCAGTCCTCCTCCTCAGGCTGTATATAATAAACTTGCTGAGTTTGGGGGTTGTTGTAGTAGGTGTCTTCCATCCAAGTGTGTACAATGTATCTACCCCCAGCTTTTCTGTATGTGTGTCCTTTCTTCTATATCTTGTTTCTTCATCTAGATGTCTTCTTAGGCAGGTTTCAGGACAAGACATGGCTAGAGGAGGCAACATTAGAATTTTTTATTGTCCCATGGGAGCAGATGTTTAATTACATAATGGAAATCAGTAGAAAACAAATGTTTCCTCTCTATCACCTTGTCTAGCAGCCAAGGGATTTATTGCTAATAAAATATTTTTTCATGCAATCAGCAAATTGAGTGTGTGATCTGGTTTACATACTCAGTGACATGAAAACCAAGGATGATCAAGTGTGAAACCATTTTGTTAATAGAATCTTCACTGTATTAGCAGAGGTGGAAGATGGATGTAAACAGATAAAACATGAGGCTAGGAGCATGAATTCTGAGATGACTGAATGACGTCAGAGTTCATAGAAAGGAGGGTTCATCTCCAATATGTATGAAATGCCTGATAAGGCAGAAAATTCAACACTGGGAAGAGAAAAAACAGGACAATGTAGACCAAAGCAAACATCAAAAGAAAGAAAAGGCAAAATCATTGGGCTCTTGGCTTGTCCAGATGACCTCAAGCATGGGTTAGTGGCAGGAAAACCTAAACATTTGGTGACAAGTTTTGAACTCATGAAAGTTCTGTGTTGTTCCAAAGGACTTAGCACTTCATCACTCAGAAAATAAGCAGACTCTCAGCATTTTACAAAAGGAATAAGTACCCAATAATATGAAAACTAACTTGATTTAATGGAATTGGAGAAGGTAGAAGTTTGTGAATTGACTGCAAGAGTCTTTAATAGTTCAATCAGGAAAAAATGAATGACCTAGATTATTTGTATATAATATTACAATTATTTAACTACTATTCTATTTTTCAATTTTTTTGTTTCAAATCTCAGATACAGTGCCTAGTCAACAGCTTTTGTTTTGTTATCTTCAAGAAATACCTTTATACTAAGTGAACAGATGTGGCTGCAATCACTAGGCAAGGCATGTAAATTAGAATCATTTGATGTGGGAACTAGACAAGAATTTCCAAAAATTCAAATCTCACTGTTTGGGAGAAAGATAGCAACAGGAAAGTATTTCCTGGAAAACTGGAGGTGGAGCAATTTTAACAACTGGGGAGTGATAGGACTGAGGGAGAGGACATCCTCATTGGGAGGTGATACACTGAGATATAGCTTCATCATAAGGCAGCAAATGGGCTTACTACCTTTTAGCTCAGTTTTACAGTATTCGGAGCAGGCTGGGAGTTTGTTGTTAATCACAGAATGCAAGAACTATTGAAAGGAAGGTCCTGATATTTTTGATCTGAGATCTTTGCTATTTTGAAGTGTTCTAGGGAATAGTATTTCTTTATGTTCAGTGAATTCTCAGAACATCAATGGCATGAGTCTACAAGTTCTAGAGGGCATTTCAGAGTTTGGACATAGGTGTAAGTACTGAGTTTTACCTCAAAGGACTTTTGATAGCAGTATGGTGGTGACAAATAGCCTCTAGAAACTGTGGTCACATTTTGGGAACACAGATCATGCACATTCAGATGAGTCTCAGGTGTTCTTAGCATAGATGGGAATACTTTTCAGGGCATCTGGATTGATGGTAACACAGTTATGCTACTGATCTTTGAGAACAGAAAGGTGCCATCGTTAAAGTGACCATGCTAACAATCACGTTTGTGGGCATTAGAATAGTGAAGAGTAGAGCCATTCTCCTTTTTAGTGGAGCTGGCCTTTACCCTCCCATCAGGTTCCAAGAACGGATCTCATATACTTAGCATGCCTCGAGTCTCAAGAATTTAGTTCAGAGCAGAATTTTAAAGAATGTATGATTGGATTTAAATTTGGACAAAATGTACATGTATCCTGAGGAAAGTTATGCACAGGGTTTCATCCAGGGTGAATAATTATGCATAAGACTGATTGCTTAAATACACAGCTCATGTTTATGAATGAAATCACCTGCTTTACTCTACAAATACCTTGCTCTGCGTGGATTAAAGAAAGTTAAACTTGATTGCAGTTGCTGGAAATTTTAGACTTTGAAAATTTCCAGTTTATCTCAAAATATGTAACTCATGGCTTGTGCCATACTTGTTGTAGAAATAATTTTCAAGTTGCAATTGAAAATGAACTACCAATTATATGGGATTTCACAGTGGACAGAAGTTCTAGAATTTGGTTCACCATAAAGTAAATGGGCATTTTTATTTGTGCATCTTCTTGTTCTCATGTTTTTTTAAGACGTGTGTGTGTGTGTGTGTGTGTGTGTGCGCGCGCACGTGCACGTGGGCACATACCAAGGAGGCCTATTTGTCTAGTCTGACAGATTCTAGCAAGCCCCAGATTCCAATAGTCTCTGTCATAAGCCCATCTAGGAGCCTGAAATCCGACCTTTATTACTTTTCCTTGGATTTGGGTTTTGTTGATTATTAAAATGCACATGTTCCCGAGGAGAATAATCTGTGAAACCACAATCCATCAAAGCAGTGTAGTGTGAATATGCTTGTCGGTTCTGCTCCAAAGTGACAGCTTGGCAAAAGTGGTTCTATTGTCCTATGCTGTTTTGGCAATGTCGTTGTTTGCATCTTTTTACCCCTAACCAGATTAGACCTTCAGTGTAGGCACGTGCATTGGTTTAGACTTGGATCAGATCATTTCATGTGGACTCAATTCAATATTGAAACAACTCATGTACTCTCACTGGATTTGGCAGGGACTTGGGTTGGGGGCTGGGGTAAGCTTCCTAAGAGCACAGAACTTAAATGGTAAGAATCAATGTGGAAATGGAAATCCCAGATCAAAAATAATTTAAAGATATCAGATGAAGAAGCACCTCGGAGTAGCAACAAAGAAGGTCAATTCTCTTAATCTTTGTGTTCAACGGACATAGCAGTGTTTTAAATTAAAATATATTCTTGTTTAATTGCTGATATTGATGCACACACAAAGAAATGTTTAAACAGTTAAATAGCTGCAAGTTTTCTATAAGGACAAACAGTGGTGCCTTACCTATCACCTGTCCCAGCCATGATCTTTCTTCTTAAAGGGAAGGAATCAGGTAGAACACAAAGAGTTTGTTTTTTGTTTTAGATCCCCCACTGCAGAGTGAGAGGAAAATACTGGTTGTCTTGCTAGGGAAGATAGAGAGTAGAGACATGTGTTAGAGAGAAAATTATCAGAACCAGAATGTTGACTTACAAACATACTTGGGAAAGGGGTTTTGAGTATTTTGTAGTTATAAAAGATTAAGTGGTTAAAACTCTATCTTGTTCTTTGCTTAAGTCTATGTATTGCAAACAGTGTTTCTCATAGTTTTGACAATCGCGTTGAGTGGTTGGTTACCACATCTTACTACAATTTTGAAGTAATTATAGTGAGAAAATCAATTTATTTTAAAGAAACTAGTACTAATTTCAGTTGTATAATCATAAATATATGAACCAAGGGTAGATAATGTTACCAAGGATAAGCAAAAAGTCGATTTCTGTAAAGTAAAAGCAGTGATTTCCGAAAATGGTTTTGAGGGAAGAATGAATAACTATTTTCAGCTTTCTAGTCTATGGACATTCAGTTCAGCTTATATCCTTAAAAAAATTAAGCAATAACTCATAAAGCTCATGTAAGTCTAGGGGAACAACAAGTGTTAAATGAGTAGTATATAACACAATGAAGTTTGAATTTAAATACTGTAACTTGGCAGAAGTAATAGGTTTCCTGACCTACTCTCTATAGGGTAGTAGAGCTTATTCTTATTTATTTTTATTTTTAGTTCAATGACAATTTTATTAACTTTTAAAAGAAAAACATTATCTCACTGAAGGAGTAATTATTCCATCTATCTCTTTAGTATAGCTTAAGGTGAGCTGGCTTTCCTAGGAGTATGCCTGCCTTCCTGAGTGATAGTTCCTTGGTCATGGATCTGCTTACCTGGATTTAGACTGCTTTTTAAAAAATTATTCTCAATAACAATTTATTATTTTATTTTATGGGGACAGGTGTTTTGCCTACATGTATGCCTCTGTACCACATATGTACCTGGTGCTGACAGAGGCCAGAAATGAATAGCTACTATTCCTGGAATGAGAGAAATAGATGCTTGTGAACAGCCATGTTGTTTCTGAAAATTGAACCCAGGACAGTTACCCTTAACTGCTGAGCCAACTCCCCAGATCCTATTTTAAACCTTATTGGGTATATTCACATCTAGAGGGAGATCCCAATATTTACTGTAGAGGAGACAGGTTGAAATTGGGAATAGATACAAACCACTTTCAGAATGGAAATATATGGTACCAGTTCCAAAGCTGTTTCCAGAAAGGATGAAAGCCTGCAAAGGAGTTCTTGTTCCCACCCTCATGTACAGTCTTTAGGGGAGGGTAGAATTGATTCTTTTATATGCAAATAAACAACTCAGGAATCTGATGTCAAATATATTTCCAATACATGGAAATGAAGACTAAGGAAAAAATTGCCTTCATGAAGAATCTATTAATAGCAAAATGTGACCTTTCAAAGAAGTCCTCAGACTTTAGTCTCAAATTAAAAACAATTGTCAACTTATTCATGGGTATTTGGATCAGACTATGCTAAATATTGAGCATTTCTAGCTCATGAAATCATGCAAACTGTCTTCCATAGTATTATCACTGTAATACATTTTTTTAAGTTTGTTAGATCATGATGTCAAGACTTCCTTCCCTAAGAACAAGGGAATCTGGCCAAGAAGCCTTGTTTTTATTTAAATTAGAAACAAGCTTCTTTTATATGTCAATCCCAGTTCCCTGTCCCCCTCCTCCTCCCCTGCCACCCACTAACCCCCTATCTCATCCAGTTTCTGCCCCACAGGGAGGGCGAGGCCTTCCATGGGGGATCTTCAAAGTCTGTCATATCATTTGGATCAGGGCAGAGGCCCTTCCTCATGTTTCTAGACTGAGAGAGTATCCCACTATGTGGAGTCTGCTCCCAAAGTCCATTTGTGTTCTAGGGATACATACTGATCCACTACAAGAGGCCCCATAGATTGCCCAGACCTCCAAACTGACACCCAGGTTCAGGAGGTCTGGATTGGTCCTATGCTGGTTTCAGCTATCAGTCTGGGGTCCATGTGCTACCACTTGTTCAGGTCAACTTTTTCTGTGGGTTTCTCCAGCCTGGTATTCACCTCTTTGCTCATCAATCTCCCTCTCAGCAACTGGATCCCAGGAGTTCAGCTCAGTGTATAGCTGTAGGTATCTGCTTCTACTTCCATCAGATACTGGATGAAGGCTCTTGGATGGCATATAAGTAGTCATCAATCTCATTATCAGAGAAGGTCATTTAAGGTAGCCTCTCCACTATTGCTTAGATTTTTTGTTGGGGTCATCCTTGTAGATCTCTGGACATTACTCTAGTGCTAGATTTCTCTTTAAACCTATAATGGCTTCCTCAATTATGGTATCTCTTTTCCTGATCTCCTCTATTCTTCCCCTGACTAAATCTTCCTGCTCCCTCATATCTTCAACTCCCCTCCTCTTCTCCCCTTCTCTTTCTCCTAACTCCTTCTCCCTACCCCCTATGCTCCCAATTATCTCAGGAGATCTTGTTCTTTTCCCATTCTCCAGGGACCATGTTTGTTTCTCTTAGGGTCCTCCTTGTTTCCTAGATTCTCTGGTGGTGTGGATTGTAGACTGGTAATTTTTTTGCTTTATGTCTGAAATCCATATATGAGTGAGTATACACCATGTTTACCTTTTTGTGACTGGGTTGCCTCATTCAGAATGGTTTCTTCTAGATCCATTTATTTGCCTGTGAATTTCAATATTCATTGTTTTTTTTTTCTGCTGAGTAGTACTTCATTGTGTAATTGTACCACATTTTCTTTACCCATTCTTCAGTTGAGGGACATCTAGGTTGCTTTCAGGTTCTGGCTATTACAATTAATGTTGCTATGAACATAGTTGAACAGATGACCTAGTTGTGTGAATTTGCTTCTTTTGGGTATATGCTGGATCTTGTGGTAGACTAATTCCAATTTTCCAGAGGAACCTCCATAGTGATTTTCAAAGTGGCTGTATGAGTTAGCACTCCCACCAGCAGTGGAGAAGAGCTCCCCTTTCTCCACATCCTCTCTTGCATAAACTGTCAAGTCTGTACACTCTCCTTACCTCTTCAATATTGCACTTGAAGTTCTAGCTAGAGCAAGAAGACCACAAGGGGATACAAATTGGAAAAGAAATCAAACTTTCACTATTTGCAGATTGCAGATGATATGATAGTTTACATAAGTTACCTGAAAGATTGTACCAGAGAACTCCTACAGCTGATAAACACCTTCAGCAAAGTGACAGGATATAAGATTAGGCTCAAAAAAATCAGTGGCCCTACTGTATATAGAAAATAAATGGGCTGAGAAAGAAATCAGAGAAACATCACCCTTTACAATAGCCATAAACAACATAAAATACTTTGGGGTAATTCTAACAAAACAAGTGAAAGACCTGTGTAACAAGAACTTTGAGTATTTAAAGAAAGAAATTAAAGAAGATACCAGAAAATGGAAAGATCTCCAATGCTCTTGGATAGGTAGGATCAACATAGTAAAAATGGCAATCTTGCCAAAAGCAATCTACAGATTCAATGCTATCCCCGTCAAAATCTCTACACAGTTCTTCACAGACCTTGAAAGAACAATACTCAACTTTATATGGAAAAACAAAAGACCCAGTATAGCCAAAAGAACCCTGTACAATAAAGGAACCTCTGGAGGCATCAACATCCCTGACTTCAAGCTCTAGTACAGACCTATAGTCCTGAAAACAGCTTGGTATTGGAATAAAAATAGACCAGTAGATCAATGGAATTGAACTGAAAACACTGATATTAACCCACACACCTACCAACACCTGATTTTTGAAAAAGAAGCTCCAATTATACAATGGAAAAAGAAAGCACTCTCAACAAATGGTGCTGGCATAACTTGATGCTGGCATGTAGAAGACTGCAGATAGACCCATATCTATCACCATGCACAAAACTTAAGTCCAAATGGATCAAAGACCTCAACATAAATCCAGCCACACTGAACCTCTTAGAAGAGAAACTAGGAGGTACCCTCGAATGAAGCTTGTGTTAGGTAAAGGACACAGTCAACAAGACAAAATGGCAGCCCACAGAATGGGAAAAGATTTTCACCAACCCCATGTCTGACAGGGGGCTGATTTCCAAAATATACAAAGAAATCAAGAAGCTAATCACCAAAACGCCAAATAATCCAATTAAATATGGGGTATATAACTAAATAGAGAATTCTCAATAGAGGGATCTAAAGTGACTGAAAGACACCTAAGAAAGTGCTCAACATCCTTAGCCATCAAGGAAATGCAAATCAAAACAACTCTGAGATGCCATTTTGCTCCTTTCAGAATAGATAAAATCAAAAGAGCTGAAGGATTATAAGCATTTTACCCAGCATGATGAAAATAAGGACTCTTCTTTTTGATTTCACTATCCTCAACTTGCTGTGCTTTTGGAAATCTGCTTAATACCAAAGCTCCTTCATATATTTATGTATTTAAATTTCAATTAGTTCAAATTCAATTTTGCAGTTGCTCAGCATTAATTGCTTTACAGCCATATATATCCAGAAACATTGCACTGGACAGGATGAACATGACCCTCCCCATTAGCACTGAGTTCTTTAGCTCTCTGCTCTTGCGGGACAGTAAGTCAAGGAAAGTTACTGATTATCACCTAGTTCCTTTTCAATTAATGTTGTTTGGATTTCATAGGTAGCCTTTTTGTATATGCTTTGTTTTTTCTTTTGTGTGTGTGTGTGTTATTGTTTTTGTTTTACACAGAGCTACTGATCATATGCCACCTTCTTCTATCTATATTGCACCTCAGAAGATAATCATTCCTCCAACATGAATAAAAATCCCTCTTCTGCATTGGCATTTGTTTGGTGGAAATTCAATGGAGGTTTTGGCATCTTTTGCCTACTTCCTCTGAATGTACATTGAAATCTGACATCTCAAACATTAGCAAATCTGTTCAATTACAGTGGAGCTTTTTCCTTGCTTACACAGAAGCAGATACTAGGTTGTGTTCAAACACCACTTACTTTCTGCTCATGCCACACTCATAGGGATGCTCT